ATCATATGTTCAATCCTAGTGCAAGACAAACTTTAAAAGTGACGTATTATGAAGAGTTATTTTTACAGGCGATTCGCATGATTATATAATTTAATTTGACCAAAGTACCTGGAAATAATAAATTTTAAACACACGTATTAACCAGGAGAAAAATCAGCAAAGCAAAGGAAGCGACTCTTCACAAGAGGCAAACGTTACTTGATGTTAGAACATCAAGTAACGTTTACAGCTACTCCTAAGACATCAGACGCCTCTTCTACTAGCTTAACGCAGCAGAAGATAACGGAAGTGTCCAATCTTCTGCATTAGCACTGTTTGACCAGCTTTGCTGCAGTCATTTCACATTGGTGACTTTAAAGTTAAAACTTTTCCATATTTCCTTTTTTTTTATTTAGCTGGATAGGTCAGGGCTGGTTACGTTCCCTTTACACTGGATATGCCAAAAGATACCAAAAATCATATAATTAAAATGTGTTTTAAAAATCATATTGTCTGTTTTAAAAATCAAAATGCCAAATGAAGAATTCTTTTCTCGAAATTGGCTTGTACTTAGCCCAGCAAAGACAGCAGTATTTTGTTTTCTAACTCAACTATTTTTACCAGGAAATCAAGTTTCACATTTCCACATTTTGTGAACCGCCAAATCCTCAATGAAGCAGCTACCTAGAGAAAAACTATAAAACAAGTCTTGAATGTGATTCCGTTTCTTGGTGAACGTGGATTGGCTTTTTGTGAAAATCAAACCTAATTGGAGACCCTCAAATGGAAATTTTTTAGGATTGCTGAAACTAATTTTAAAACGTTCATGTTTAAAATTAGTTTCAGCAATCCCAAAGGTGAAATATTTTAAAACATTGATCAGTCACCTTTAACCTGTTTTGGAGGAATGGCCAACAGTTTTGAAAAAAGCTTAATTAGCTGCAGATGCTGCAGAAATCAGTTCTAAATTTCCCATCTACTAAAAAGTGAAGCGCAAAGGTTTTGCTTGGGAGTAATTTGAAGGTGATGAATATATCACGGAATCAACCGAATCAGTAGAGTAAGCAACATTTTGGAGCAGTTTTTTATTACTTTCTTGACTCTGTGATTGGTAGACTCACTGTTCGTTTCGCATTCATTCAGGAAATCTTTGCTGTATTATCTTTTTTGTAGGAATATTAAAAAATGTATGAAGCAATGATAAAGAGTGCCTGCATCCATTTTTTGCCATTATATTCATGTGACGTAAAAAATTGCTCTACATAAAACAATATCATTCTGCAGACTTCGGAGAAAAACCACATTCCCCTTTCAATTTGTTACACAAAAATCCAGAGATGAGGGGAGTTCTTAGAAATTTAGTGACTGCACTTCGTATTTTTGCTACAATTTTAATTTTTTATCCTCTATGGGAAAAGAACAAACAAGTAATCTTGCCATTTTGAGTATTGAGTGTCTATTAGCACAAAATCTTGATTTCCATGTGTGATTGAAGAGTTTGCAAAACAAAAGACAAAAAAAGATATTGTAAGAAACAAAAGCTTAATTAATGGACAACTTAATTACAATTATATATGAGAAATATATTCAAAAAATTTGAAGAGACTTTTTTTTTTATGAAGAGGTTGGGCCCCAAAATTGAATGATTCTCGGGGCCCCCAATATTTGTGCACGGCCCTGTTTTAAACAAACAGAAAGGCATATTGCGAGCCTTTCTTGTATGAACTTGGTGCTTTATTTATTTATAAACTTAACATTCATCAAGTGATGCTATTTATGTTTAAAGCAAAGCGTAGTGTATTGCTTGTAACATTTCAATCTTACTTTAATGAAATCTCATAAATATCCTACTAAATTTTCAGATAATAACTTTGTTACTTTTATAACCCATCTTAAAATAAGCTCCTACCAAATTTAATATCGTGGACATTTTGTTTGGAAAAATTTTCTTCGCATTCTTAATGATGATATAGAATTCGTCTTAAACTCCACAATAGAAAGTTTTAAGGCTGATTTAAAACGGCATTTACTTCTTATATATAGGACTTTGATATATTAGACTTCAATTACATATTTTGAAAATAATTTAATTGTTTTGAATCAAAAAAATATTTTAAATCTGTACTACATTTCTTTTACTCTTTTACTACATTTTTGAAACTTTTTCACTACATTTCTTTAATTTTTTAATTTTGTTTGTTTTTGTTGTGCTTTTGTTGATATTAAATAATTAGTAATAAAAAATTAGTTATATTTCATTGTTTATAATAAAACACAGCGCAACTTTTGTGGATTGATAACTTCTTGGTTATCCATCTTTTGTTTCATTTTATTACTTCAATTATTCCGTTGAAATATTGGTGTTAAAAATTTCTATTTTACATTTTGAAAGTTTTTTTGAAAGTTTTTTTTCTTTATATACTATTTTATTGAATATTTATTTTGCATGTAAGTATTTAAAACGTTTACAAAACACCAATGTAATGCGGGCTCGGAGATAAGACAATTTGTCTCCTTCTTGTTTCTGTCAGGTTTTTATTTAATTGTAAATTCTTTTTGCTATTTTAACTAACGGCAAATATATATATAAAAAAATAATAATAATAAAAACCAAGATGATTAAGTGTTAATAAAAGCAGTGTTCGAAGTGAGGCGGGATGCCATCCCGTCACCTTTTTATAAAGTATAAACCATACCGCCACTCTTTTTTAAATCTCTATATATAACAATGATTAGGCGGGATGGTATTTTTAATTTACCGAATACCATCCCGTTACTTTTTTTTCTCCAGTTCAAAAACTGAATAAAATTTAAATCATTTTTTTGAAATAATACTTTTAAAACAAGAAGACTAATGTCATCATCGCGCATCGACTTATTCTGTTAAGCGTTTTTAAGTTTTTAAGAACAATATTTTAATCTATAGTTATACCCGAAATTAAAGCCTTTGTTTTGGGTGCAAAAGATTTTAATGACTGAATCAATAGTTGCTTTGAAAAAACTGATTGAAATTGGTTGTTAAAAATATTTGCATGTTACTGTTTTGAATTGTTTTGAATATGGACTGTTTGTCCTGGAAAAGAATTACAAGGCTTAATTCTCTTTCTTTTATCCCATGAACGGCATTTTCAACAGTAGATGCTTTGAAGTAAGCGGTGCTCATAAGCTTACTAGTATTTATGTCAATTATAGGTTGTCATGGATGACTGACCATAATATTTTTAAATGCTTAGTTATTGACTTGAAAATTTCTTCTTATAGTGTCTAACTATATCTGAAATATAGTTATATACATAATCAATTATTAATTAGATTTAGGAGAAAGTCGGGAAGTAGCGGACACTTAAGGAATAAGTAGTGTATTGCTCAAACACAAACTAAAACTATAGTGCCAAATGATTTTTATGAAAGAAGAAACATCTATTTATCAAGTTAAATGCAAAAAAGTATTTACAGTGCACTATAATATAACACAAAACATAAAAGAAAAATGTTCAAAAACGGGCATCTGAAAAAATTGGAGGGTAGCCCCGGACATATATTTTAAACAGAAATTCGCAACTTTTTAAATCTTTAGGAACATATTTAATACATTATTTAACTAGCATTTTACCACGGACATTCAAATTATAATAATTAGAAGCAGGATGAATAATTTGATACGATAATAAGTGATTCAAATATGATGATACACTGCTATCCTGATGCTAGCAAACAATCTTTGGCTCTGCCATCCAATTGCTTTCAAATATTGGTACAGATATTTTACATATGCCTCAAAATAACTCAAAGCATGTTTTTATGGCACTCAACACCGAATAGATTGTTTAGTTTTAGCTGTGCAACAAGTGTCCGGGGCTACCCGCCGTTCCCCTTATTATTAATTATCAATAAAACATTTGCCTTTAAACTCATTAAATCAAACATTTATTTAATTAGTATATTGTTATAATGTCTATTTTAATTTTGTATTTTCAAAAATCAAATTTAGTTCTGTTTTACTTGTTCCTAACTTAACTTTTATAACCAGAGTTTTCGCATATATAATTGACTACAATCAATTCTAAGTAAAATTACGTCAAAAATATTTCAAAGATGGTTTGTATATTGAATGGGGATAGATAGCAGTAATCAGTTAAACAGTGCAACTGGGTACCAGCTGGGCCCCAACTTGGAAAAAGGATTCAAAACTGTAAAAACAAAAATTAAAGCTAATACTTCTAATTTTAAATGCTTTAAAATTAAAAGTGAAAATAAAATTAATTGCAAAACCATTTTATTTTGTATCAAATATTGTTCGTTTGGAAATCCCTAATTCAATTAATAAAAATATCAACAATTAGCGTTAACACTGTTAAAGTTTAATTTTTTTTTTTTAAATTAAACTTTAACCAGCGTTATTTTTAACTGGAATAATTATTTCCAAGAAAACGAGAGGAAGCAATAATTATTTCCCAGCGTTATTTTCTACAGGAATAATTATTTCCCAGAAAATAAGTATTCTGGAAAAAAACAGGAGTACTTTTAGGTATACTATACTGGTGCTTAGACTTCCAAAACAAATGTACAAAATACAGACCGAAATTGACAGATATTATGAAATTTATATTCTTTTTATTTACAATTTATAGGCTTGAAAACTTAAACTTAAAAAAAGCAAACAATATTATTTTATTAAAAAAAAATTTAGCTGACAAATTTATGCTAACTTACAAAAGTTATTTTAAAATACTTCATATCTACAATAAACCTTCTAAAATCCATGATAAAAAAAAGATGCAACTATCAAGTTTATAAAATCGTTTTAAATTTCTACTTTTTAAAGTGCCAAACTTATAAGTTTAAAATTTTAAAAATATCCAAATTTGAAAAATTGAAAAATAAAAATTTGAATATATTGAAAAATTAAAAACGAAGAAGGAAAATATTAATTTTAACTAACGAATATTAAATAAAATACTTATTTTTAATGAAAATTCGTAAGAAAATATTCATCTTCAAAAAGAATAACAACTAAGTCATTAAAATCTTGTTAGATTTATTTACTTTTTATGTAACCTATCTCTAATATAGTCTCTTCACCGTTTCTTTGCTTTGATAGCTCCTAGCGCTTTGTTCTTCTCCGCAGATTTTAATAGACAAAAAACGTCGCTTGAAACACTCAAGGATCGTTACTGAAGAGAAAAAATTACGTTATTACGTTTTCAAACAAAGCATAATCTTTTTTCCGTTAATTCTCAAGCGTTTCATTTAATTTAAAAACTTTGTTTTAAATTATTTTGTCGAAATGATAATGCTTAATAAAGCTTTAAGATATCCATTTTCGGTAACATTTTGAACAAAAATTCCGGCCGGAAACGAAATCTTAAATATTACCGTGTCAGGAATCGAAGAATCCGGTCAGAGTTGTTGCCGAACCCGGAACCGAATTTCGGTAGACCACTGCAAAAAACCTTTTAATTTCTGTTTTTCATTTTAAGAAAAATTCACGTCTTTAAATCTTTTTTTTTTTTTAATTTTGAAATGTTCTACCTAATTACAAACGTTAAAATATATTTTATGACTTAATATATAAATATAAATTTCTGTTTAACCCATCATTTCATTGACGATTGTTTTAAAATGGCTAATCATGGCAATTTAAACAATTAAATAAAAAACACAAAAATTATTTCAAAAGCTTTCAAGTAAACAAAAGTAATTCTTGTAAACAAAATCAATTTTAGTAAAATTACTAAAAGATCTAAATTCAATAAAAAAGTTTGACGCCAAGAGCCAAAACGTTCGAGGAAATATTCCATGGAAAACCTATGGATTCTATGAGTAAACCATGGTTTTCCCATAAAAAACTGGAATTTCCATGGGTGAATTTCATGAAAATTGAAATCCCATGGAATTTCCATGGTTTTTTTTTTCATAGCTTATGCTGCGCCATGGTTGTTACGAATGCGCCTTTAAAGATGGCACTATAGCTTGTACAGTTACGATTACTTTTAACTTGAGTAAACAATACTTACCGCATTCTTCTGTTTTTCTGTGTTTAATAAGACTATAAATGATATGTTTGTTATAATGCATCACATTTATATGATTCAAACTAAACATACAGACATAAGCAACTAGATATATTTATCATATTATAATGCATTATAAAATGGATTATTTTTAATTATATTTAATTTTATATCATTTATGCATATACTTATTTTAACTGTTTCCAGTAGCTTTGCATAACTTGCAATAGTATAGCAAGTATGTCAAGTAAACCAGTTTGAATTTTAATGCTTACTTGGCAAATTATTTGCCAAATAATTATTATTTGGTTTACAACAAGTAAACGTTTAGTTTTAATCTACATTAAATAACTAGTATATTAATGTACATAGTGTAATCTAATGTACATTAAAACTTATATAATTATTATAAAACTTATATTACATATTAAACAAACTTATCTAAAATATTAATATATAAGCAGTATATCAGATAAGATTAGATAACTAAGATAAGATAAGATAATAAGATTAGATAACTAATTTAAAAAAGATAACTAGTATAATCTTTTTTATTTTTTTTATAATATCCTTAGATTACATAAAAATGCTTGAAGTTAATTGTATGGTTAATGTTCATTAAGTATTAAAAAACGTTTTTTTATGATAAATGTTCTATTCAGTTTTAGTTCTGGTAAGTTGTTTTTGTCTTTTTGTTGTTGTTTTTTCTTTAGAATTATTAGAATATGTAAATAATGTAATATAAATATTGTTTATAAATTCTTTATATTTACTTTATTATTTTATTCAAATTACTACATTATAAGCTGACAGGTTTGACTGGCAATATAAATAATGTTGTTCATCGTTTATATTGTTTATAACATCGTCAGTTTTTATATGCATTTAATATTTTTTTCAAATAGTTCAAAAGCTGTGAAAATAAAATAGTGAATTGAGTTTAAATTAACCAGAAAAGATATAAACGTAATCTCTGGGATTCAACTTGTAAGGATGTTCCAAGAACCACTTAGTTGGAGAAGGAAAACTGTGGTAATGTTTTAAAAGTATCAGAAAAAGAACTTAATTAATGCACAAGATTTTACTTCATAGTTAAATATAAGCATATAAAAGCAATGTTTATAAATAATACACTATTATTTATTAAAATACAATTATTTTTATTTGTTTATATTTAACTAATGTAAAGTGGTCTTCTTTAGTTAAAATAAATTAATTTATGCACACACTTTGATATATATTATGCTTTTACATCACTATACTTTATAAATTACATATTTATTAAATTTGTTATGTTTTAAATAGTAAAGTAAAAATATAATAAATTTTTGAATTTAATGGTGTGTGCATAAGTTCTTTTATTTTAACTTTATCATTTTATTTAAATTACTGCATTATAAGCAGGTAAGTTTGACTGACAATATAAATAATGTTGTATATCATATATGCAGACAGCTCAGACAATGAAGTAAGTTTTTACTTAAAATTACAATTTATAAGTTATACTATATTTGTTGCTGTCTTGTTCTATATAAATGTTACTAACATGCAGGTAAAATTTATATATGTGTATATATTTTTTCATTTTAAGCTTATCGTTTCATTTAAATTACTACATTATTAGCAGGCAGGTTTGACTGGCAATATAAATTTTTAATTTATTTGTTTAGCCGTTCATTAACATGTCCGGTGCTTTATAATATATTTAAAGATGGTAAGGACGTGAAGAAAACAGGTTTGTAAATGATGTTGTACATCATGCAGATAGCTCAGAAGAAGAAGTAAGTTTTTTTTTTAATTACAAAAATAAATACATAATATAATATTTGTTGCTGCCTTATTCTATATAAATGTTTCTAACATGCAGGTAACATTTATATATGTATTAATTTGAATAAATCATTTTAATTAAGTTACATTATAGGCAGGAATGTTTGACTGGAAATATAAACGATGTTGTACATAATGCAGATAGCTAAGGCAAAAAAGAGGTAATAATCTAATAATTGTTATTTATAAATAATGATATATTCATTGCTACTTTTTTCTATATAAATGTTACCTAACATTTGGCAACATTCATAATTGTGTATAATGCCTAATTATAAAGTAAGTTATAATAGATAATAACTATTAGTAAAATGAATCAGTAAATAAAGAAAACTAGTTAGAATGTATATAATAGTTGTATGATGTATTGTCTAGATTAGTGAAATGGAGAATGAGACTAACTACGGTGAAAAAATAATGAATATCAAAATGTGAATGGTACTTTGTTTGACATCTACCTGTTTCTACAGACACAGTGTAGTCGCACTTATAAATGGGCTTGATATTTTTTTGGATTGAATATGTTGTATTGATGGTTCTTTTTAACTTGTTAAAACTTTAAGTTATTATCAAATTTAAATATACTATTTTTATCAAATAGTTTATATAAAATAATAAACATGTAAATTGTTTTATTTTCTGTAAAAATTGTTTTCTTGATAAATTTCAATTGTTTATCACTATGTATATCACTTATAGTATTATATTACTTGTAATTTTTTGTTTTATTTATTTTCAGTATGTTATACATATGCGTGCATTAAATATTGTGGGGAAGTCAAGTTTTGATGTTTTAGGTGCATTATAGCTATTATTTTTTAAAGATTTGTAGGATAAAACAAGATTTAAATTTTATTTTGTTTATTAATTTTATTCGGAGAAAGCGATCCCATAGATTAAGAGAACTCAATAATATTAGTGTGATAAATTTTGCTTTTATGATTTAATATGACAATTCAAACTTGAAAACAAATCATGCTTTTTTACCATGAAAAATTCATGAGTTTTCCTTGAAAAGGTGTTCCTAATACCTATGGAAATTCCATGGATTTTTCCATGGATGGAAATCTCATTGAATATCCATGGTATTTGTAACACTTTTCCATGAAAAACTCATGGAATTTTTCAGAGAAACTCACGGGTTTCCCATGGAAAACTCATGGGTTTTCCATAGGAAGCTCATGGATTTTCCATGGAAAACTCATGGGTTTTCATTGAAAACTCATGGAGATCCCATAGGAAACTCATGGAATTCCCATAGAAAACTTCTACATCTGATTTTTTGGAAAAATCTTTAACCCCCTCCCCAGGGCTGTCCTGAAGAATGAGGAGGGGGAGTGTCGTGGTGTCCCTCGCCCCCTCCCCTTAAAGATATCTTACAAGCATTTGAGTTAGCACATTGAGCAAGTTTTGAACTATAGTTGGCATATTGGAAATATTGCGAACTTTTTTTTTTTTTGGTGTCTCTAGTCGTTAGTTGAAAAGCAAAAAAATACATGGAAGACTATCTTCAGTTAATCTATCAAGATTAACCGAGGTCTATTATTAAAAGAGGTCTATTAAATTAATCTAATAAGAGCCTTTCTTCAATTAAAAATATGCAAGGTTATCACCGGGGCACTTTACTTTTAGATTATAAAATTATATATTTACACATTATTTACAGATCTATTATTAAAAACTATTTTTTTACATCACCATTAATAAAATAAATTACACAATGCAAAACTTTATACTTTATTTTAACAAATATATTATAAAATAGCACAAATTATAATAAAATATTGTATATTAAATATGCAATTTTAAATTATAAAAAGAGGTATTTAGAGATGCATTCTTAATGCCACATTTTGTTAAAAAAAAAAATTTAAAACATTAATAAATCTTGCTGAATAAAACATAAAAAATGAAAAAAATCAATTAAAAAACAAAAGCATTTGCCAATTACAACAAATACAACTTTTATATATAAAAATGATAACACTAAATAGGTGTTATTATTGTTTGGCACTATACCAGGGTACTTAACATATATATTTCAGGCGCCAAAATGAATAATATATCCACTCACATTCACATGAAGTTAGTGGAAAAGTAGCATGTAAACTTTTAATGTTTTTACAACCAGGAAAATTTATCACTTTTAACAGCTCAGTAACATTAATATTGAAACTACCTTTTTAAATTTAACTAAAATGCTTCACATAAATGAAGCTCACAAAATTAAAGCATGGGAATTCATTAGATCTGTTCATAAAGTTCACTAAAAGATATAATTGAACTTCTGAAATCATTTTTGTAGGAACTAGTACTATGTTCTTAAAAACTATCCAAAAAAAAGTAAACCTTTTCCACCCCAACAAGTTCAATATGGAACGGTACTTTCAATATGCTCCTCTAAAATTTGTTGCCTGATATGTACAAGTTTAAAAAGTGATACCTCATTAAAGTGTGCCAAAACATGACATAGTGCTAAAAAGATACTTGACATATTGCACTTTGTATGAGGCACAAATAACTAAATTAAGTCTATGACTGTTGCAATGAGCATATGTAGCTTTTTCATTTAGATTTAAAATGCAAGAGGACAAATCTTTAGTGTGACCATCAATTCTCACCCAAACTCCATTGTTCAGTTATATGAAACTTTAGCTGTTCCAACACTAACGTATGGCCTTGAGCTGTGTGAACATAAAAAAATGATAATGCAAAAGCTTGATATAGTTGGAAGAAATGCACTTAAGTCACTCCTCGATGTTTCAAAACATAGCAAAAATTATATTCATACCTTATTTTTTATTGAAGATATATCAATTATTATGCAACAAAACAAGCTAAACTTATTTATTCGTTTGATGAACAATAAAATGACATATGATATTATTAGGTCGCAACTGAAAAACAAAACAGCCCCACAAATTTTTTAGATAGTATTAAAGGGTTGTGCAATAATCATGAACTAAATCTGGAGACAATAATGGAAAGTGAAAAAAAAAAAAAATTTGTCGGTCTCAAAAATTTAATTGCTGAAACGGATCTTCAATTTCTAAAATGTGCAGTTGAGTAGTGGAACTTAAAAGAGCAGAGAACTATCTTCAAGGACATTCTTGAAAAACATATTCCAAGATGATCACGTTGAAACAAAAAAAAAATGTCCAAGATTTTTAGTATTTATCTTGTATGAAACTCCTAATTTACCTTACTTGTATAGTGGGTGTTTAATAAATCTAAAATAAATTGCTCTACCACCACTATATCACAATTCATGATACATAAAAAGGAATCCGAAATATTTTTTATCAAAAAATAAAATATTCCGTACTAGTAACACCATTTGTGCAATCTAAGAAACTGATAAATTCTCTTATTGAACTTTGAACCAACAAACCATATAATTAAAAGTAGTTGTTCTCTACTTTAATTGTCAGAAGCTTCATCAGAAAAATCTTTAAAATTTTTTAACTATTTTGTTATTAACTTCTCTGAAGCACTTTTTTTACCAGATATTATGGTGTTTTAGATATGTAAGAAGCGTTTTTTGTTGAAAATATCTAAGCTGATCTTGAAGAATTTTATCACCAGCATAAACACGAACATGTTGCAAACACAATTTATTAAGAAAACTTCGCATATCTACAGAGTCGAGACATTTTAAGTCAATAATCACAATAAACTTTAAACATTTCAGGGTGAAAATAGGAAGGTACGTCCGACAGTGTTTTTTCATAAATAAAATCGATTACTTAAAATTCAAATATTGAAAACTAAACTAAATAAAAAGTTCAATCACAGAAAAAAATAATGTTAGGTACGTCTATTGTTTTATTTTGATATGTAGTAACTATTAAAATATATTTCACCTCCTGATTATCGCTAAACAATAGATTTTAACTAAGATTTTACTTAGGATGTACTGCTTTGAGTACGTCCAAAAATTGTTATAACTAAAGAAATTAATATTTTGCTTTTATAAAAAAAAAAAAAAAAAAAAATTTAAAAACCTTTTCTATCGTTTAACAAAATAATATTGGGTACGTCCATTGAATATTCTAATTAAATATTATTTATTTATTATTACTTTAACCTCCGTTAAAAAAGATTTTTTTATTTACCGCTCTAAACAAAATGCAACTTTAATTACTCTAAACAAGAAGCGAAATTTTTTATTTAAATAACTGTTTGTATAAAGGTAATAAAACTTAAATTTAATTCACTTAACGGTTAAACTAAAAAAAATTATTTTTATATGCAATATTGAAATAATATAAAAACTTCTTTTTTTTAGATTTATTTTTATTTTTGGGTACATCTACAAACGTACTAGACGTACTCTAGATCCGCCCCTATATATATATATATATATATATATATATATATATATATATATATATATATATATATATATATATATATATATATATATATATATATATATATATATATATATATATATATATATATATATATATATATATATACATATATATATATATATATATATATATATATATATATATATATATATATATATATATATATATATATATATATATATATATATATATATATATATATATATATATATATATATATATATATATAGGAAAAATAAATTACAATGAAAAAAATAAAACAAAATCAAAATATTGAGAAATTTATTTTTAATGTAACATAAATACTTTATAAAATGTATATGCAACTTTTAATGTTACTTACTCTATAGAATGTATAACAACATTGAAGTTTACTTTACGATTAGAGTAAAGTTTTGCTATCTAAATAAATGAAGCAATGAAAATATTTCAGAAATACAATTAAACTTAAAACAACTTATAAATGAATTTATTTCTTACCGCATCTTGAATTTTTTTTTCAAGTGACCCTGAACTTGTTAATATGGAATACCAGTCGTCATACATTTTATCAATGAAATTTACTTTCAAATTTAATTTGGCACCTTAATTAACAACAATATTTTTATTCTTTTATGTCATAAATATCATAAATTAAATAAATAATTTTAATTTGGTGACTCAATAATTAAATAAATAGTTTTAATTTAGTGAGAAGTGGTTTTAAAATTTATAAGCTATCAAATAAAAAGTAAAAAACATATAATAAATGCGTTGTTTAAAAAGTGTGAAAAAAGTTTGATGTAGCTATATGCAGACTCAAAAACACAAGACTATAGTCTTATAGGTAGATTTATAGACTTAATGATTGATTAAGATTGATGCACTGTGAAAATTTTACTTTTGCAATTATGCGTTGTACAGTTTGTAAATTCCTCAACGCTTCCATTGCAATTCTGACCACCAAATTTCGGCACAGGGTTTGAGCAGCTTCGAAATCTTGAATGTAAACCACCTCCACATGGTTGGCTGCATAATGACCAAGATGACCACAATGACCAATTACCATTTACTATAAAAAATATGTAATTTGTTTTCTATAAAAAATATAAAAAACAACCAATCAAACTATAAAGCAGATAAACAACTAACATGGACAAATTATATTATTATCGCAAACTTCAGTATAATTGCTGACACCTATACAATCTTGACCATTATATGATGGGCGTGGATTATTACAAATTCTACTTAAAAATTTTATTCCTTTGCCACATGTATTCGAACATTCTGATTTGTTCCACTCCCCCCACATTCCATCCTCTAAAAATCAAAAATCTTTCCATGATTCACTTGTCATTCACAATTCTACATTTAAAAACGTATAAAATAATTCTCTCAAATGTTCAAGTGAATTGTAAAAATCAAAGCAAATTTAAAAATCAATAATAAACTTAAACAACAATAAATTAAAAATTATTATAAAATAATTTGTAAATAAATATATGAAAAAGTGCAAGTTGAGAATTAATAAAAAAACATTTGTAAAAAAGCTTGATAAATCTTCTTTATAGATAGTTCATACAAGTTTTTTTTATTGGTAATACTGGTAAACTCTAACCTAACTTTAACATAAAAAAAAAAAAAAATAGTGAGATTATTATCTACTTTAATAACAAAATTGGATATCTTGATGTTTGAAGCAATAACTTATAATTATAATAACTTAAAATTATAATTAAAAATATTAAAATACTACCTGCGTTCATGAAAAAATGTTAAAAAAAAAAAGTATGCATTAAGAAAAAAATCAGACGAAGAATATTATGAATAAAACCAAAATTATGTACCAAAAGTTTTAGACTAAACTTTTATTTTTTGTTGAAATTTGGCATGTACATAGAAAATGTAGAAAATTATCTGAATAATAAAAAAGGGGATCAACATTTCTTTGACGACAAATTCATGTGAGAATAACCTTCAAAAATAATCATTTAATTATTCTTTGCATCATAGTCATAGTATTTAACTAGTCTGGAAACGCGGGCTGTTGTCTATGGATTTCGTAAAATAACTTGAACTTTATGGGGTGACCGGACTGAGAGTGCATTAAATATTTCTTTAACTGATATTTAATGGCACAGACTTTGATATTTTGAATGAATTAATTGCTGTTTTAGCTGCTATTGAGTTGCTATTTGTTGGAAGCAGACCTCAAATTTACTTCAAATGTTAGGTTACTTAATTTAATTTATTCTAACCAAAGCGAAGAAAGTATATTGTGTTTGTTTTGCAAGAAACGATGTTTGTTTTATACGTGTTTTTTTTTAGCAAGAAACGATTTATATCGCAAGGTAACTGGTCATCTTAACGCCAAACACAAGAAAAAGATTACTGATAAACAATTTAAGAAAGAATAAAAGAAAGCAAAAATTCTTTTTTAACCTATTAGGTTTTAAAATTATTTAATTCAGACTGCAGTAAAGCTTGCTTCAGATAAATGGTACCCTGCTATAAACTGAATTTAAAATCAAGTATAAATATTTTAATTATTTTAGAAGAAGTCATTACAGCTTAGTAAATTTACAAAATATTTCCTGTTACAACAAGTTCTTTTTAAAACCATAGCCAAAATTGTACTTTTCTTTAAAGTTTTGAAGTAGCTAATCTTTGTTTATCTGACTGGTCCTTTTTTTGTCAATGATATTATAAATGTTGTATCTTACTACATTACTAAACAAAATGTTCTATTATGATTAATGGGAATGTTTTTAGGTATCTCTTATTCTACAATTAGTGTTTATTGTATTTGCTTGCTGCTTAAAGTGCAGTCTAAAACTTTATATACAAGTTTGAAAATTTTATATTACAAAAGATAAGGTGAAAGCTTTAAAGATTTAAAAAAGTCAAACTATATGTATATATGATATGTAAAGGAGATTAATTAAAAATCACCCTTTATTTTGAAAGATTAACATTAAAAAGGAAGTGTGATGACTTAAACCTACTAAACAGCTATTTTCATAGCCAAATATTTCTTAAAAATATTATTGGTATATAATTAACTCCTGAAGTAGTAAAATAAATACTTAATGTATATTTAATAGTTTTATGGTGCAGTAACTTTATAATAACAACACAAGATTAAATAATAAAAATAATACAATTGTCTTTTAATTTTAAAATAAAATTATGACACCAATAATATTTTACACATGTTTTATAAAAAATTTAATTCTGAACAAATCTAATCAATAATAATTATCTTGTGAATAATACAAACAGTTTTTATTTTGCTTATAGCTTCTTTTTTTTTGGCATGACTAAGTACTATCTTACAATAGTATGTATTACCTGTGTAAGTAACATTTCCAGCAACCACAAATATATTTTAGTCTATTTTTTGTGTTATTATCAAAGCAAAAGTCATTAAAAAATGGGTTATCTTTGAAAACACTAAGTGATTGTTGGTGTCGAAAATAATTGTCAAATAAGCTTTTCCATAATGTAATAAATTTTTTAATACAGCAAAAACATATGACTTAGGCAGCAAGTTTAACACTTCTTAATAAATATGTTGTCAACTTTATATGGTCAAAAATAAGTTTAGGTAAAATACAAAAACCACATTCTCTGTCTTCATAGAATATATAAGCAATATGATTCCACAGTAAAAACATATTATCTTTCTACATATATCTTTTTTATCTGTATGTTTAAGTTGGATAAATCATATTTGAATAAGGCAGTAACAAGTTGTCTTATTTTAAAGCGTGTACACGAAATAAATGTGAAAGAATAAGTACGTCATTTTTTTTCAGTGGTTAAATTAAAATCTTTTTGACTGTTTTGTATTTTGTTTACAATGTGTTGTGGTTTCAAAAAAATGTATTAGTTTTGATTAACTTAAAATTAGTTTTAAAAATGACAAAAGAAGAAAACATAAGAGAAAAAATTATGCACAAATATTTGAAAAATTTCTTTCCAATTGTAGTATAAAAGTTGTCCTCAATGAACAGCACTTTTCTTCATATCCTGTAACCTTAGGGGATCCTTAAGGTTCAATCCTAGGCCCTATAGTCTTATTAGTTTACATTAATGTTCTTTCATATATTTTCACATCTAAGGTGGCATTGCTCATTGATGATTCTACCATTTATTCTTGTCATGATAAGAACACAACACTCTCTGATTGGTTTGAGGGGTATTTGAGCTTGAAAAGGATTTACACTATGGAGCTCATAGTTCCTAGTGAACTTTAATTCAGATAAAAATAATTGTTTTACAGCCAATCGTTATCGCAATAATTTAGATCTTTCTACATTTATAAACGGCAATGTAGTCAATGAGTCATCTACCCTTCACCTTTTAGGATTAACTCCTACTTCCAATCTTTCTTGAAAACCGTATATAAAGTCCATTGCAAAATTAACATCTCCTAAGTTTACATCTCTTTATCGTGCTTTTTATTCCGGATTATATTTTTTATCTCCATAAATCTCAAATCTGTCTTTGCATGAAATACTGTTGCCATATCTGGGGTGGATCTTCTAATGATGCTCTTTCTCTTTTAGACAAGGTGAAAAGATGCATTATAAACATTGTTAGACCTGCTCTTGCAGCCAAAATCCAACCATTATCACATCGTTGTAATGCTACTTCTCTTTCCCTTTTCTTTAAATACCATAATGGGCACTGCTCTAAAGAGCTTAAGAGCTAGCCTCTTTACTAAAATTCATTTTCATGTTACTTGTCATTCAATTAAGTCTCATCCTTTTTCTGTGACAGTTCCTAAGTGCTCCAAAAACTCTTATTTGTCCAGTTCTTTTACTCAAACATCAGTTCTTTAGAATTCGCTTCTTTCATCTTGCTTTCCTGATTCATACATTTTGCAATTTTTTAATTTAACTTTTATTCGTTATCTTGCTCTACAACCTTCATCTTTTTTCTTCCAGTAACTTCCAACTCTATAAGTGGTTGCTTGCAGCCTTGTTGGAAGCAAGATGTTGAAAAAAAAAAAAGAGGTGAGATTGATGAAAAGTTCTTTGCAAACAGTTCAGCTTTGTTATTAGATTAGGTGACAAAATCTGAACCACGCAAGAGGGGTGAAATGACAGATTTTCCCTTATTATAGATAATTATAATATTAAATATAATATCCTTATTATAGATATATATAAGATAACATTATCTGTTAAAGATTCTCGAAAAGTCTCTAGAGCCTAATTTTTGAGATGAAGTACAAGATTTTGTGACCTGAGGATAGCAGGCTTAGGCGTTAGACAAAACCTTTTTACTATGGGTCTAGTAATAGTAATCTAACTTCTGTTTTCTAGAGAAATGTTTCCGAAAAATTTGGCGATAGATATGAAAGTAATGATTGCCTTTAAAAATTGCGTCAATACAATGAGGAAAACCATGGAGAAGAGTAAGGCTTTACTTGAAATTGCCAAGAGTGAATAAAAGATTCCATTCCAGCTTGAATCCAAGAAGATACAAAAGAAGCACATTTGTCAACAGACAAAAGATTTCTACCCAAGCACCATCAAGAAATAAAATCAAAGAAAAAGTCAGTTTTAAGGTAGTTGTAAGAGATACAATGATATGGGGACTCTATTGATGAAGAAGAATGAGATGTCAAAAAACATCCATTTTTCAAACTTTCAGAAAATAATGCCGACTTATTTAAACAGTGAGAAGAATTTATCAGTTCAAAGTAATAGAAATATTTACAGAATACAAAAAAACAATTCAATTCTATTTTGGATTGTCAAATGCACATTTTCTTAACAGCTGTTTTATCATAATTTTATCAGATTTAATATACTTATATAAAAGTTCTATGCTATGGTGAAAAATAAGCAAAAACCTAATTTTTTGTTTACAAGATTTACAAGATTTTTAAAGGCTGAAAACACTAAAAGATTGTTATTCTTATTGGTCACTGATTTCCTAATTTTCTTTTAGTTCTGAAACGTTGATTTTTTTGTTGATAACAAGTTATATAAATAAACAGGGGGTATTAATAAGTTTAGGGTGAGTGGGGTGAAATTTTCAAAAATTATTAAACGTTTCCCACTGTGTATTAAGCACTTAAGAGTAGGTAGTTTACCAATAAATTAAAAAATAAACTTAAAAATATAAAAACTTAAACAATAAATAAACTTATAAACATTAGTAAATTTATGTAAAAGAAAAGAGTTTGTCTAATGTTCTAACGACTGAACCTAATAAAACAAAATATAAAAAAATAGATAATCAGCCAAAACTTTGATTAAGTCTTTTACCATAACCTTATATTCTTCAATTCACATTACCACAGTCATATCTACCCTTATGAGACAAGTTTCCTCTACTTTCATTTAGCATTTTAAAGAAAATAAAGAAGATGGAATAGAATCCTTAAAACTCATAAAACCAAAATAAAATTGATAAAAAATTGCTAGGATAACTGATGAATAAAATATTAAGTAAAATGATTAGAGTGGATAGTGGAAGACTTTTATAAAAAAAGGTAATATCCGTTTCATGACTATTTAATTTAATAAAAAAGTTTAGTTTTTTTATAAACATTTACTTGAAGTAAATATTGAGGTTAAATGGCTTTCATAACATGTTGATGAATGACAACACACCATGTACATGGTGTAATTTCCGATAATCATTCAACTAATTTTTCTGCTTTTGCAAATTTTATTGATAAAGAAAAAAATAACAACCACATTTAAATCATTACAGTTCCTTCAACTTTTTTACTCAATTTACATAACTTAAAAGGTTTTAAATTCCTTACTAAGTTTTGAACAGATATTATATGTTATCAAAATCAGGATATTACATGTTATAGGGAACGTAGTGAAGTACTATGAAAGTAACTCAGTGATGTAAATGTAAACTTCTTAAGTTAATAATATTTTTAAAGTTAATAAATATATGGCAGACTATGTGTAACTAGGTTGATTTTTATTTCAAAGTTAAATCGTGTCCAAGATAATTGATTTATAATTCCAGATATTCTATTAAGATGTATATATTGCTTTTTCTACTTTTGTCATATTATAGTCTTTATAAATAAATAAAAAATACATAAACATATTGTGAGTTATAGTAAACATATACATGTTTATTTGTTCAAAGATTATTAGAGTTTTTTTGCTTTTCCAACAACAACTTATAAAAAAGGCCCAATTTATGTTTTTAATATATAATATTTGATTAATAATTAGTTACTATAACAAAGATATATTTGTAAGAAATCACAATTAAAAATGTATTTTTACACTGACTCGAAGATTTAGTCATCACCATCACAAGCTCTTTCTATGACATCAGTAATTACTAGTCTTATTGATTTTAATCAATTCATTAGGTGTCAGGCCATGTCTAACAGACCTAATTTTAGTCTCATTGATATTTACTTTCACTATCGAAATAACAAATTTATTTTATTTTTAACTAAAAAGTTAATTTTTGTAAGAAATAAAACATCAACACAGTCACCTTAGATTCTATCAGGTGAGTTTAGCCATATATAAACCTTGTTAGGTTTTTTTGATCATTCCAAAGGTCCCCATTAATAATATGAATAAACCGATAAATTTGCAGATAAGATCACACAAAGAAATACTTTAAATATACAATTTGTCACTTCCGTGATGGAGGTAATATAATTACAGTATACTTTTTAGAGATATTGAAATTTTCATTGCTAATATCAATATTTTTTTAGTAAATATGTTCTATTAAACTTGAACATGTATGTGTTTTTACAACAGTGTGTCTAACACTTTAGATAACTTTTGATTAGTAATGGCATTTAAACAATATATTAAAACAAATAATGAAAAATAAATGTTATTTATAAAAAAAATCCACAAGCACATTTGATTCAAGGTTTCATTTATTTTTCATGCTTTGATGGAAACAAAAAAATGCTGATGAAAAAGAAAACTAACCAATAATTCAAATACATCAAATTCAGTATTATCTACATACAAAAATATAAATTTTCACAGCAAAAAAAATATTTCTTATTTAACTTTACGTTCTAAAAACAGGTGTTTTAAATTAATATAATAAATTTAATATAATAAAAATTATTTTTTAATTTTTTAAAAAAAAATTAAAAAATAATTTTTTTTTAAAAAATCCAACCTTAAAAATCTTATAGCATATGAAAAAAAATTATAGTAAATCAAAAGTATATTGTTAATTTATTGATACCTGGACAGTTGATTTGATTACAACTTTCTAAGTTTATTATTTTTATTGTTTCATGTTGTGAATATTTACTTCTATTGCCCACTCCACATGTTACAGAACACTCACTCCAAGTTGTCCATTTTTCTAAAAAATAGAGAGGTGTGTTTGTAAATATATATATATATATATATATATATATATATATATATATATATATATATATATATATATATATTATATATATATATATATATATATATATATATATATATATATATATATATATATATATAATGTTAGTTTGTAATTAACATTAATATACTATAAATGCATAAAATATTTTATGGAAGATTTTGATTGTAGTTTTAGTGTAAAAATTTCATTGATAAAAAAATTAAATTCTAAAATAAATTTATTGAAACTAAATAGTGGGGGTAAATTTTAAAATTGAAAAAATTTAATAATTTGAAGTAACACAAATTTGTTAAAGTTTTTTGTGTTTTATTTTACTACAATTATATTATAATTTTTTTGTTAGCTTTAAACTACATGGTCTGCAAAAATCAGCTTAAATACTTACAATGGTTCCCAAGGAAACACTTTAGAGGAATGATTAAATACACGGGAGAATAAATTTGAAAAATATTAATTTCTTTTAATTTTGTTCATGGAGGAAATTAAATTTTGAAGATTTTACTAAGAAATAACTTAAAACAGTATCTTTCAAATAAGATTTTTTTTCTTATAACATCAATTGTAAGAGAAATATTAAGATAAATTTTTTTAAAACAAAGCGTTGGTTTGTATTGTTCTAATAGAAAAAAAGAAAGAAGTTATTTAGTTGGGTTGATAAATAATTGGAATTTTTTTTTTTTTTCTGATTCACTCCCAAAAAGACTGCAAGCAACCTTAAGTTGGATATACAAGCAAAAATGAATAGTAATAGTGCAAGGAAATGCTTGACAAAAGATTTAAAAAGTTAAAGGTTGTATGAAAACATGAAAATGGGAGAGAGTTCCAAAGGTGTGAAGTGCGGGGAAAAAACTAGACAAATATAAGTTTTTAGAGCATGCAGGCACAGATACAGTAAAAGAATGAGACTTTGCTGAATAACAAATCAAGTGAGAGTGAGATTAAGTTGATGGAGCTAGAGATGATATCTCCTTTGATCAGTAACAATAATAGTACTTGTAGAAAAGAGAAAGAAATGCAACCTTACAATGGTGGGAAAGAAGCTCAAGCTTAGCAGATAGAACAGGTCTAACTACATTTACAATGCGTTCTTGGACTTTGTCTAATAGAAAAAGAGCATTATTAGAAGAACCAAAATTTGTTTTTTTTTAGAGAATGGAATCAGGAGAGAAAAAATTGCAAGCACGATAAAGAGAAGCAAACCTAGCAGATGCTAATTTAGCAATTGATTGCATATATGGTTTTGTTTATAGATGGTTTATAGGCGTTTGTTCTAAACTTTAATCTGGATTTCATTACCATGAAAAGTTAGAAACAATAATCCAAAACAAAAAAATACCAAGATAGATCCTTATGGAAGCGGTTAGGAAGAAATGATTTGATAAACTCAAAAACTTTCCCAGATACACCATATGAAACAAGCTTATGCAGAAGACCAGCATGCCAAACTTTGTTGAAAGCTTTTGATATGACAAATCCTCTCTGTCTTTATCTAATGCACGATAAAATCTTTCAGTCACAATAGGTAGCAAGTCAGCAGTAGAGCAAGAGGATTGAAAATCATATTGATTGTCTGATAGTAAGTTATTTGATTCATAAATGGATGCGCAAAATTTGTTTATCAAAGACTTAAATACTTTGCTAATAACAGAAAGATGAATGATCGGAAGATAGTTGGAAGGGTCAGAATGCTCATCAAGTGTTTGAAAATGGAACTATAGATACCAATTTCCAGCTAACAGGAAAACAAGACTCTGTCAAGAACTTATTAAATACTTTAAAGAGAATTGAAGAGAGTTTTGGAGACAATGACAGGAATGTTCTCTGGACCACAAGCCACAGAAGAGTTTAATCAAGATATGACTTTAGCAAAGGAAACTGGAGTGATTTTAATGTCTAATAATTGGTTAACCTGTTTAATTAGAATGGAATGAAAAAAATAGCTATAAGATTCAAGAGTAGAAATAGAAAAAAAAATCTTTGCAAATAGTTCTGCCTTATTCTTGTGAGAGGTAATATCATTTTCATGATAGAGAGATGGAATGTTAGACCTTCCTTTGTTAATGATGCTGTGAAAGATTTTCCAAAAATCTCTATAGTGTAACTCCTGAGATAAGATACAAGATTTAGTGAACTGGGAATAATGGATCCTAGTACCAAACATACATTGATTTCTTGCAATAATAAATAGCCATTTATTCTCGAGAGAGTTATTTTTTTCAAAAGGACGAAAAAAATGATTACAATTGGATATAGCAGCTGCACAAGAAAGTGAAAACCATGGAGTGGAATGAGGAGAAGTATGAGATAAAATATTTAAAGAGATCATAACATGGTCAGAACAACCTAAAAGGGAAAAAAGAAAAACTGTATACAAGCTAGGATCAGAGACCAGACATAAATTAAGGAGTGAAGGTAAATAATTAGGGTTGTCAGGAAAACAAGTCACAAAGTAATGTATTTGGGTAAGTGATTGAGAAATGCTGAAGGTATTGTCTTTAGTTTTCTAGCAGTTTCTGTGGCATTAAAATCAAGCAATGCAGTGTCACCATAATTCTATTGTTTTTTGATTTCTATAAACAACCTGTTTTTTATCATTTTTGAAGCAATATAGTTTTTGAAGAAAAAAGAAAGTTATGAAAAGCAATTTGTCAGTATTAAGTTCGCTTGTATTATTTGACTGTTGTTTATAAACAAATTACCCTGTTGCACCATCAAAGCCAGCTTTGTATATTAGAATTAGTCTGGTCCAATCTTTATGAAAATTCAAAGAATTCACGTCTTTCATATAATTTGCAATCTTTTAGGTTGTCTGTTAATTGTTATCTTGCTTTATAAACTTTATACTTTCTCTTCCAGTAACATTCAATTCTAATAGTGTTTGCTTGCAGCCTTGTTGGAGTGAAGATGTTGGAGTGAAGATAAAATAAACTTGTTTTTTCCAGATTTTCTGACGTTTTATAGATCTAAATAATTCTTTTGATTGAATCATTTTCATAAGAGATGTAGCAAAACCTCTACCATATTACAGCAGTTTAAAAGGGCCATTTAAACAAATAGTTATATTTAACAGTTTGTAACATAATAACAGCTTGTAACATAATAATTTGTTTTTAACAAGTTTTTAATATACTTATTAAAACAAATTGGATTTTATTATTGAAAAGATTTCAAGAGAAGTTTGCAATAAATAAAGAAAGAGACTCAAAAAACTTTGTTAAGGTGACAGATATGCCTAAGTGGTTTAATTTTGAGCAAATTCATGTTGAGCCAGTTACTCAAAATACTTTGAACTGAGAACTTTTCTTTGCATGCTAATAAAAAACACCAATTGAATGACAAAAAAAAATAAATTATACATGCTTATTGACTAGCTCAAGAGTTAAATTTACACTAAAGACTGGAAAAAGTTACAACATTGTTTAATGAGACAAGTTGACTGGCGTTAATTTATTAACACTTAAGGCAATATTTTAACTAATTTTATGCAACATTAATTTAATTTTATTAACCTTTCTTCATTCAAAACAAAAAAAGGAAAGGAAATTAGTTCTACTGTCAAAAATTTAATCATAAAAATAGTTGAATC